TAAAACAAAATGTTAGAATTCTAAAAAAAAAAAGTTGGAATTCCCCAAAAAAAAAGTATCAGGCTTATTGGAGACGCTTTCCCATTTTTTTATTTAGGTTTAAGTACCATTTTGGTCCCTCAACTTGTTACTTTGGTACCAAAATTGTCCCTCAGCTTTAAAAAGTACCAAAATTATCCTCAAACTTTCATTTTCGGTACCAAAATGGTCCTTCCGTCAGTTAAGTGCACAGGTGGCACGTTAAGATGCCACAAAATCACTGATTTTTTTAATTTTAATGACGTGTAAATCCAGCAAATAAAATCTTGCCACCATGGCATGTTTTTATACACGTGGCATATTTTTTACACGTCATATTATCACTTTTGTTTTACTTTCCCTTTTAATGGGGTACACATGACATTTTTTTAACTTTTCTTATTCTTTCTCTCTCTCCTCTCTTCCCTCTTCTTCTTCCTCTCTAGATCTGGGTTTGAGGGTTCTCTCAACCCGAATGCCATGCTAGAGTGACGATGAACGGAGTGGATTCTTCAATTGAAACCACGCAACATCTTCAACACAAATCCACACCAGAATGGAGGGTTCTCTCCACACCTTGAAACTCCCAAATCCACAAATTACATTCACATACGAATCCACAAGCAAGATTCAACAGACACCAAAATTGGGGACGATAAAGCAAACCATAACAATCCCAGCTTCACACTTGATGCCAATCACAATTCTAAAACAACATAAAAAAAAATTCCTAAGGAAATTGAAATGACAAGCTCAATGCACAACAAAACAAACCCACTGTTATCGACAGCCTTGGCGGTGTACTTGATCTGGAAAACTCTACCTCATCTTTCTTATTTCTTCTTCTTATTCTTTCTCTTTTTCTGTCTCCTCGCTTCTTCTTCCTCTCTCAAACCTAGATGTGGGTTTTTCTCAAACCCAGATCTGGGTTTGAGACAAACCCAGATTTGGGTTTCATCACATTGGCAATAATCCACCGGCATCAAGCAACAACCATCACCAGGACCATCATTGACACCGATCTGAGAGATCCTTGGTGGAACGCCATTGAACCAGCATTTCGTCCGTTGAAGAGAGGCACAAGCAATGGTTTATTCGATGAGTATCCACAGTCGACTTCTCAAGATCTAGTAGTGAAGAGAGGCACAAGCAACGAATGGGCAAACGACTCCAACTTAGCGAAAAAGAGCTACCGACGACGTTGTGGTTTATTCTCGGAGAATCCACAGGCAACTCCTCGAGAACGAGTAGTGAAAAGGCGCATTGTGGGTTTAACCATTGCCATCGATTGTTCTTATTGGGTTGAAAGAACCTAGATTTGGAGAGGAAGAAGAAGAGAGAAGAGAGTAGAGAAAGAATAAGAAAAGTTAAAAAAGTCACATGGGCCCCATTAAAAGGGAAAGTTAAAAAGTGATGATATGATGTGTAAAAAAATATGCCACGTGTATAAAAAATTTTCTTAGCTGGATTGACACATCATTAAAATTCAAAAAGTTTAATGATTTTGTGGCATTTTAACGAGCCACCTGTCATTTAACTGACGGAAGGACCATTTTGGTACCGAAAATGAAAGTTTAAGGATAATTTTGGTACTTTTTAAAGCTAAAGGATAATTTTGGTACAAAAGTGACAAGTTGAGGGACCAAAATGATACTTAAACCTTTTATTTATTATAGGTATAAGCCGGACAAAGTTAATAGAAAAAGTGATAGAAGTGACGGAGGTATAACCGAAGTTAGAAATGAGAGCTATTTTCTTCCATTTTTATAGGTTAGGGGCTAAAACTGTTACATTATAAGGTAATGGGCTAAAACCGTCCAACTTATCAAGGTAAAGGGCTATTGTTAGGCTTTTGCCGAGAATCTCCTTATACTTGAAACAACTTTTTAATTGGCAATCATCTCCATAATTCAGGCAGAGGTGTTAACGTGATACAATAAAACATAAAAATCGGACTATCTCGCATTTCCTTTGAAAAAAAGAAGAAATTAAAATGAAAGAACGAAGATACCAACTAATGATCGAATGAAAAACCTGAACTTGAGAAGAAGCATTATTCGTCCAAAGGTTTGAGCATTGAAGTTCCAAATCTCAAAATAGGCTCAAATCACCAAATAAGGGGTAGAAGTTTGGTAAAAAGGAGGGAAATCTCCTGCCAACCGAGATCTTTAATAAACAAGTAAAACATCAATGAAGGAATCATAGTTATTTTGGTACCGTATCAAGAGAAAGTGCAGCAAATTTAGACATCTCATTTTCAGCTGAACCAGCTTCAGAAGCTTTTGCTACTCCAATTGCCTGGGAAGATCCTGGAAAAATGTTCAAGTTCATCAAAAAAAGAAAAGGGGGAAAAAAAAGAGAAACAAAAAAAAAAAAGAAAGAGAAAGAAAAAAACAGAGTTCCAGCATGCCATGAACTGTCAAAAACCTTAAAGAGCATCTTGATTAACAAGAATTTACCAGCATACTGAGATGATGCAGGATCTCCCATCTGAGCTCCACTAGTCAGAGGAATCCTAGTTGACTTCAAAGCCTCCATATCCAGAC